TTCATGTAATCAGCATGCATGAAAACCCTACTACGTACTTTTACATAATTTAAAATCAATGACGGGTCTTCAAAATAGGTCAAGGGGGACTTCGTACGAGCTCAAGATCAAATTGGACTGGACTTCGTTTTGAAATTTCCCTGGTGCCAGCTCGTGCCCAGCCCTGGGTATGAAAGATGGAAAGGCGTAGGTTTTGAAGCAGAACACATATATTATGCGCTCACCCTCCTTCCTCTGGCTCCGTGGCTCATGAACCGCGCAAGACCAGATATGCCAGCTGGTCCTAGATAAAGTACGGGAAACGGAGAGACAACCATGAAAAACTCTTGTGGATGGCGAAGCCATTTTTTGTCGGCGAAATGCCAAGTAAGGACAACTGCAACAATTGGACAATTGAAGGGTCGAGGCTCTCAGTGGACAACGATAACAAGCTTTTCGAATGAGCGGGCGGTGATAATCCGGAGAAATTGGCGAGCGGGCAGCCACAGGCTTTGAACTTGTGGGTAGCCATGTCTTGTGTGGCTTTCAACTTGTGGGTAGCCATGACTTGTGTGAATCAGGAAAATGATTCCGTAACATGTTAAAGGCTATGATGGCAGCTAATAGGCGAGACGAGGCAGATAGTTAGTAACACCAAGCGAAAGGATGGCGAAAGCAAGGTTTTGTGAGCGGGTAGCGAAGATATTGTAAGCGGGTGGCGATAGATCGCTGACGATGGTAGAACTTGTGATTTTGTCGATATCTGATTGCAGTCTACTTTGAGCATATAAGCAAATCAAGGGCCATTTTCTCGAACTCTGCTTTCGTAAGCTATCACAATACCGCTCACAATTCGTCAAAAAAGTCGCCGGAGTGGGCTGCAGTGTGCCGGAGTGCAGCAGATTGCGCCGCACTCCACTAAAGTCCGCCGGAGAGCAGCGGAATGCGCCGCACATCACTAGAGTCTGTCGGAATCCGCGTCGCATCGCCATATCTCGCTTCAGAATGGAGTTCTAAAACCGAGGACTCAGTTGATTCAGCTCGGCGAGACGCATCATCTGTATATGTAAGTGCCACAATATAAAGGGGTACGATAAGTATACGGTACACAATGAGTTTTTGCTCAATTTCGCAGATTTTTGTTTGTTTGGATTGTTCAGTGTGCTGATAACAATATTCCCATTGATTTCTCGTTGATGACACATAGTAGGTGTACCGTAGGAGTATGGTAATGGGTCACTATGATCGAATTTGTTCAAAAATCAGCTCTCAAGAGACAAACTGCACAGCTCGCTCTCGAATATGCAAAGCTCGCGGAATTTCGCAAAAGTCGCGATTTTCCAGAAATTTCGCGACATTCCAAGATCCGCGGAATCACGCGAATTACGCAGAATACGCAGCGCTAAAACTTTTTTGAAATGAACGAATTCTGAATCCGCAAGCAGCATTGTGTTCAGCTCGTCAAGGCAAATCTTCCAATGTACAGCATGCCCTCGATATTCCGTTTGCAGTTTTCTCAAATTCTTCTGTGGAGGTCCCTTCGCAAGCGTGTAATGCAGCGTTTGTGTAGCATAACAGATTCCAACAAGTGCTATTCGATAAAACTTTCTTGTAGGTTATCGTGCGCTAAAAAGTAGACGCAGACGGCCTTCAAAAGAAATAGAAGCGTTGATGAATTCTGGAAAAATCACGCGTTTGCAAATTCTATTCGCCCCGTTCAAAACGATTAAATTCTGAATCTGAAAAAAAGCATTGTGTCGAGCTTATCGAGGCAAATCTCGATATAAAGCATATCCTTGATAATCCGATTTCAGCATTCTTGAATCTTTCTGCGGACGTCTTTTCGCAAAGTTGTAAGGCAGCGCGCATTGCTCTTAGTGGATCCCAGCAAAGACTTCTTGATAGCACTTTTTTTGTAGATTATAGAGCGCTAAAAAGTGGTCACAGACGAGTCACAGACTTCTCACAGGAGATAGAAGGGCTAGTGAATTCTGGAAAAATCATGTCGATCAAATTTTACTCATTATAATCAGAATGAAGCTATCTTGCTACGCAGATGTGATTTTCGTAATCAGCAGGTCTGATAACCTCTATGAGCAAGTTTTCCGAAATGTTCGGGTCATTTCTTTATCTGTCTCACTACGCTCTGAGCTCGCCCATGGATTTCGGTCAAAATGTTGATGCTCTTGGATTGATAGGAAACTTTGCTTATAGAAGTTCTTGGGCACGCTGTTTACTAAAATCGTGGTTTTTGAAAAATGCAGAGTCTTTTTTCAGAGATACAGTGAGGTAACTGTAACCTGAGTTACTAGAGTTCGTAACTTCATCTTCACTTCTCGTGTGTCTGTCAGAAAGCTTGCCTGCTCTTTTATGGATTAGAGTCATTGTGCCGTCGAATATTGTATGTCTTAGGCTACATTCTGTAAAAATCGCCGAGTTACAAGCCCGCGAAAACATGTTCCTCATGAATTATTCCCAATAGGTAAAGGTCGCATACTTCGCGAAATTTCACCGCGAGCGGTTGTGCAACCGCTGATAAAATCTGTTCACATCCTTGATGGATTTTTTTGTGTTAACCGAAAATTATAGGCAGGAGAGTTGGGTGAGATGTTACCCGAAATAATTCATTTAGGGCCGAAGTAGAGGGACTACAACTTGCCCTGTAAGCTCTATCTAAAAGCTTTGGTGGAGATTTTAGAAGCAGTAAGTACTTTTTAGGAGAGCTACATGCCAGGGCCCAGCACCGATGGTTTGGGGTCAGACTGGACTTCATTTTTGGAGTTAGAAGCAACGGGGACATCGTTTTTATGAGGTCCTGGAGGAAGCGCCAAAAAACACGACGAACATGTCAGGTTTCACGAGTTGAGTGTTCTTTCGCAAGCGCGCGAATTTCAAATGCAAGACTCAGACAAACAAATGGCTTGTTTACAGCGCACAAACAATCACATGGCTCCCAATTTGGGCTATGAGTATACAATATTACTCCAAACTATGTTATGTAAAAAGTTCCCAAAACTTATGTGTCCTAATATCCGTTCTCGAATTTGTTGGTTTCTAGACCAACTACCAAACCAACTGGGTTGGTTCGGAGCATAAATATCGGAGAGTTCACATACGTTTTGGACCTTTTTGATTTGGACGATTAAAACGATCAAAAATCTATCATATAGTGAAGAAAGCGGACCAAACCGTTGCCTCTCCCCTTTTTTGGAGTCAAAAGTAGTATAATTTGCGCGTTGATAGATATCGCGCTCCAATCACTTGCGGTGTCCTTTGAAATATGTGGCGAAAAATGCATCGCAGGATTGTTGAGGCTACAGATTTGGTTGGCCTAGGAGATTCTCGACATTCCCAACATCAAAATGGTACTATAGCCAATGGCAGAACCTTTAATCGACTCGAAATGTTTTCTTTTTGCTTTTTTGTTACATTACATACCCCAAAATGCGCTTTTTTCGCTTTTTTGTTGCTATTCTGGTTGAATAAGGGTTTCCCTACTGATTTCCATGTCGAGAGGGACTTCGTAAATTTTCGCGAAGTCATGAAGGACTTCGTTTTTTAAAAAACCTCCAAACCAACGCGTGCCGGGCCCTGCTACATGCCCTTATGAACACGATATGAAAGAGGAGCAGAGGTTGTCAAATGTTGTAATTAGAGTTTAAAAAATTCTCAAAATCTCATACTATCGGCAGGTATTCATCTAATTTGCTTCCAGAAGCGAAGAAAAAAGCACCAAAAACTGACCAAAAGATGCAATTAAAAGAAGTGCAAAACCAAGCATACAACGCACTGATTCTTCTGTAAGCTTCCGTGAATGATTGAGATAAATGTATGTACACATTGAAAACTCTATCAAATGGTAAAGATTCCGGTTATTTTGCTTAGAGCAGAGGATTTCAAATCTCTTTACGTAAGGACAACTTCACTTCTCATGCCTCAACTTGGAGTCCGGACTTTATTCCATTTATCCGTATCTGTTCATTGTTGAGTTCTTACGGCGTGCTGCAGATTAGATAGGCAATCGAAGTCGTATTGTGTTGAGTGATTGGATAATTAAAAATGATCTTTAATTTTTTGTGCAAATTTAGAAAGGAGTTTATAACTCGAAATGAGCGGACCGCGCTGATATGTTTTGCGGACTACTGCAACGATTAGCAGTAGGTTTGAAAGACCATTAGTCGCGAAGGCTTTTTAGCGGAATGTTTTCCAAACGTTGCATCTCAGCAAGCTCAGAAGAACGAAGTGAGCGAGCTGCCTAATGTAATGAGCGGGCCCTTTGCGGCATCGAGCGCGGTGTTTTATCTGCCAGTAAGAAACTGCAGTAATCGGATGCAAGCGAGTTGCTATGAGTGGCACTGAGGCCCCGGGCAGACTTCACGCGATTTGATCGTCGCCACTGAATCGCAATGAGACAACTGTTACAACATCATTCCATGCCGATCAACTTGCATTCGGTCGTGATACTTTTCCAGCCCGAAATTTTTGAATGTGAAATTTAAATGAATGGAAATCTTGGCGATTAGATCGCGACGATTAAGTCGCGTGAAGTCTGACCAGGGCCTGATGTGGAAGCCATATGTCATTCAGCGAAAATCGACAGTGGCAGCGATAAGGCTCGGTGGCCTTTTGAGGAATACTGGTGGCGGCTACGGATGCCCGCTGAAAGCTTTCATTTGTCTGAGCAGCGTGATATACGGCCAGAGCGGATGCGTTACTATATGGCGTCGCTGAAAAAACCGAAACGGGTTCAGACAGCTTGCGCATCTCCTGCCTGCATCAAAGGTTGCTTACGGACAGAATGCTAGAAGCGACACGCTTTATTGTATTTCCTTCCATTCATAAAGAGCCAAATTAGAAGCCTATTACCCCGCAGTCGAATCTTGAAAAATGCAAAGGTTTTAAGAAACTGGCTTCAAGATTATATTGAACTTACACTAGACATGGTGTTACGATAATGTGGAAGATTCAATTTTACGAATTAGCCACATGCTTATTTTATTCACACGAAATTCAAATCTTACCATGAATACATTTAGTGGGCTCCCCATAACGAAATGATTCCAAAGCAAAAGGTGAATTAGCTCGGCAAAATTCTTCCGCTTCTTCTTCATTGCTTGTCGGTGCAGGGTATTTTATTACACAGGTGTAAGAGTTCTGAAAGAATTCTTTAAGATTGTCAAGAGGAACAGAGATTGCTTTCAAGTATTTTGACTTTGAAAAAATGATATGAATTTTATTCAGTTTCAATGCGAGACTCTGGGTAATCACTGTGAATTCATCGCTTATTTTCAAAATCGTCTATCTTTTCGAAAAGTCGATGAAAATAGTAGTGTACCAGTGGCGGTTCCAGGAATTTCGTCCGGGGGGGGGGGGGGGGGAAGGGCGCGGAAAATTTTTTTTTCCAAATGAAGGTGCGTGACGCACTCCGAAAAATTTTTTGGGGTGCTTCTCAAAATTTTTGCGGGTCCATAACTCCTAAAATCTAGAAAAGGGGGGAGGGTGGCGTCAGCCACGCCCCGACAAAAATTTTTTACAAGGCTAATTTGAATTTTTAAAAAATTTTAAAAATTATTTCAATTACTTACAAAAATAAACAAGTCATTTGCACATTTTTATGTAAGTTTGTAGGTATGGTAGGTAGTAAGTTTCAAAAATTAGGTGTTTCAAAAATTTCGCGACCCATTCTTTGGGGGGGGGGCCTCCCCCCCTCTCGATCCGCCACTGGAGTGTACTAAAAATCTACTCTGACACTGTCAGTATGCTCTCCAGGACAAATAGATTATGCAGGCTGTGAGTCGATGAACCTCACCTCGAGAACAATGATTCATCGAAGATTTTGTTATTATGAGGTTCCAACTATTTCTGCTACAAAATAGTATCCCTAGCAGTGTCATAGTAGATCCTTAGAGAACTTTACCACGTTTTTATCGACTTCATGAAAAGATAAATGGCTTTGAAAACAAGAAATGATCTCATGGGGATTTCCTGGAAATTCTACTTGTGTGGCAATGTTCTGTCATCCATCATATTCAAGTACTAGGCTGCTAGAACTTTCATCTAAATAAAACTCAAAGTCTGTTTGTTTGTTGATAAGTATGTTTTTATACAATTTATTCTGAGTGGACCAAATGAGCTGAAACCTTGCACACTTGTGTTTTCGACTCGGGCGGTTGTTATATACTACTATTTGCAGCGATTCACTTATCGCCTCCATCGATTCATGGATCTGTTTACTCGAATCTGGGAAAAGGAACCTAACAGTGGCTACAAGTCATTTCTTGAGCTACTGTATTTCGCAACGATATGTCTCATGTCGTGTTTCTGCAAGCAAAGCACAGTCAAGAGAAGTGCACTTGAAATAGGTTTTTATAAAAGCGAAAAGATGATGTGTGGAAGTCACTTGATATGTTGGAAGTTTCCTGCAGTCAATATTATGTAACGCTCTTTCTAAAACGTAGAATCCGTTTCCGCAGCATGCATGTAAAAGGCAGCAGGTACTGTACTTGCGTTTCCTTATTGACTATTGATGACCAAAAACCAAAGCTTTTTGGACACTATTTGAGATTTAACTGAATTTAGTCAGAAACAGCGATGTATTTGTTGTTAGGTGCAAAAATGCGAAAGGGTTTTGAGTAGTAGCGACCGTAAAATTCAGAGAACTATGTGCTACACTGATTGAGCGAGGAAGCAGTGTGGAATGGTTAGTATAGAAACAACCACTTAGATAATCGCGGGGGCAGGCGGTCCGCAAACTCGCGTTTTTTTGCAGGCGGTCAGCAGAATTTTGGGGCGTGGCCAAAACTTCAGCGGGCGGTACCTCCTTTACTGTCGAATGCCCTGCTAGAGGAGCAGAATACAGAGTTTTCTGCGGGTGCTCGTCAAATAATCTCTTTTAGCGAGCGCTGGCCAAACTTTCAGCAGACGCTAGGACTCTTTTCAAGCAGCTTTGGGCGTACGTCGAGCAAATGTGAGGCTCTATGCTGCAAAGGTGTCATCGATGGTTTAATTACTCAAGTTTGAGGTACTTTCTCCTAGCGGAGAATACCTGAGAGCTGTGCGGTCCTCCACAAAGGACCGCGCGGCCCTCAATAAGTTTGCATATTCTCGCGGAAAGTCCGCGAGAATGAGGCCATTGCGCCGCAACTAATCTGTAGGAAAACCGCGATAGTTCTTCGAGCATTCGTCTGAAAATTGGTCAATATTCCTCCAAATTTCTGCAAGCGGGCCGCAAGAAATCAACGAACTATTTTTCCGGTGCCCGCTTGCTCAAAATTCGCAGGCCGCCTGCCCCCCGCGATTATCTGAGCGGCAGTGGCGGACCGAGGGGGGAGAGGTGCACGCCCCCCCCCCTCCCCCCGAGAACGGGTCGCGAGATTTTTGAAACTTATCGTCGTCTCCAGAGGTGCGATGAGGGGAGCCGGGCCCAGCAAAAGTGAAGGTGGTCCCAGCTACCAGGCCAAAAGTGAAGGTGGTAGTGTCGGACACTCACCTCCCAAAAACGTCGACGGGCGGGGGGGGGGGGGGGTAGAACGGACGAACAGAGCTATTTTTCTAGGTCGAACTGTTACCCAACGGCCTTCTTGAGGGCCACAGATACCATGAATATTAAAAAATTTATAAATTTCATAAAAATTTAAAATAGACTTGTTTAGTAAATGGTGTATTTGGGAGTAAAAGTTTGTTGGACTGTACGGATTTTATTAAGTAAATTTTGTCATAACATACTGAGAAGGAAGTAGGTCGATCTAGGCAGTAACGGCCGAGAACCAGAATTTTGAATATTTGAATAATGAAAAATCATGCAAATTTCCACTGTTATAAATCTGTTGTTTGAAGATGTCAGCAGTTGCGACTTTATAGGTTTTGTAGAGTAAGGTTTGCCTTATCTGAATATATCTTAGCCGTACCGATTCACTGAAACATTGCCGAGATCCAGAGTCTTGAAAAAGCTGGTAAAAAAGCGCTTTTTGAAATTCAACAGCTCATAACTTCTTCAGAACTGCATGAATCATGTTGCGACTTTATAGGTTAGATTCTTCTCATCAAGAGTTTCAGACGATACATACTGTTGAATTTCAAAAAGCGCTTTTTTACCTGCTTTTTCAAGACTCTGGATCTCGGAGGTGTTTCAATGGATCGGAACGGCTAGGATATATCCTGATAAGGCAAACCTTACTCTACAAAACCTATGAAGTCGCAACTGCTGACATCTTCAAACAACAGATTTATAGCAGTGGAAATCTTGCATGATTTTTCACTTTTTAATTATTCAAAATTCTGGTTCTCGGCCGTTACTGCCTGGATCGATCTATTTTCTTCGCTGTACGTTATAAAAAAAATTTGCTTAATAAAATCCCTACAGTTTCGCTTAGTTTTACTTCCAAATACACCATTTACTGAGCACGTTTATTTTAAATATATGTGCCGCTATACATAAATATATGCTTTCAATAATCTTTTTTGCGTTTGTTTTGCTTATTTTCCTTCTTTATCGTCCAGCGAAAAATTTTTTTATTCCAAAAGTGAAGGTGGTCACCCTGTACCAGCTCAAAAGTGAAGATAGGGGAGAATCGGCTCCCACTATCGCACCTCTGGTCGTCTCCCCGCGATAGATGGGGCGTTTCGTGTGCAAAGTCCGTAGATGTGCGTGTTTCGTACGGTGTTAGCCGGCGTGGCTTTGCCAACGTTGCCAACGTATGCGCGTGGCAGTTTTTGGCAGTTAGAGAGTACGAAAGCTAATGTTATATGATGAAAATTTAACAAGTATTTAGAGGCATGTATATACATGCCACGCCATGGCTAATACTGTACGAAATACGCACGTCTACGGACTTTGCAGATGACACGCCCCATCTATCGCGAGGAGACGACGATACCTATATGGGTTACAAAAATGTGCAAAAGGCCTGTTCATTTTGTAAATAATTGAAATAATTTTTAAAATTTTTTAGAAATTCAAATTAGTCTTATGTATAAAAAAGGCTGACGCCACGCCCCCTTTTTCCAGATTTTAGGGGTTGGGGACTCGTAAAAATTTTGAGAAGCACCACAAAAATTTTTGGTGTGCGTGGCTGACGCCACGCACCATCTGAAAATTTTTTTGTCGCCCCCCCCTCCCCCGGTCCGAAAACCTGTGACCGCCACTGCTGAGCAGGTAGCAGGAAGGCATAATAGAACATGATTAACATTGTAGTTGGTGACATGCTAATCTGTCATATCCATTCTGCGATAAATGCTCACGCGTACAATCGTGAGGCCGAGCGATACTGATGAGGGAGGTAAGCATAATATCGTTCGAACTTTTTCCACAAAGCTACCACAATGTCACTTAAGTGAGCATGCGTTGAAAGAGTTGACCTAGAGTCAAAAGAATGAGAGAGAACAAGAGAAAGGGAAATGTCTGAAGACGCGTGGCACGCAGTCGGAGCCGATTCTCCGCCTACCTTCACTTTTAAGCTGGTACAGGGTGACCACCTTCACTTTTGCGTTTGAAAATGTTTTTGCTAAAGCTCAAAAGAAGGAAAATAAGCAAAAGGAATGTAAAAGAAAGTATTAAGAGCATATATCTATGTAGTAGGTCGATCCAGGCAGTAAACGCCGAGAACCAGAATTTCAAATGATAAAATAATAAAAAATCGTGAAAAATCATTCCACTGTTACAAATCTGCTGGCTGAAGACCTCCACAGTTGCGACTTCATAGGTTTTGAAGGGTAAGTGTTGTTCTACCAGACAGTGAAAGAATCAGTTTAATTTGAGGAGTGGCCGCCGAGAACGAGAATTTTGAAAAACCTTTAGAATCTTCTCAATTTTATGTTGCTTAATGACAACTGACATTTAAACTCTTATAAATCCGAACTTTGAAGGTGTGTGATGTTGCGACTTCATAGGTTGGATTCTCCTCATCAAGAGCTTTCAAACGATATATAATATGTGGGAGATTCACGCCTCCCACGGCATATGCCCGGGGGTGGAGTACCTCTCTTCACTAATTCTCCACTGGCGGCCTCCCGCCAATACATTGAAATGGCCGAGGTGGAGAATTAGTGAAGAGGAGTACTCCACCCCGGGTTAGAGCTGCAAGAAACATTGAATCCCCCACATATTATATATCATCTGAAGGCTCTTGAAGAGGAGAATCTAACCTATGAAATCG